TATTTGCTGTTCTTTCTCCAGCTCCTTTAGGTGTAGGGTTAGGTTGTGTACTTGAGACCTTTCTTGTTTCTTGAGAAAGGCTTGTATTGCTATATACTTTCCTCTTAGGACTGCCTTTGCTGCATCCCAAAGATTTTGAACAGTTGTGTTTTCATTTTCATTGGTTTCCATGAATTTTTTAAATTCTTCTTTAATTTCCTGGTTGACCCATTCATTCTTTAGTAGGATGCTCTTTAGCCTCCATGTATTTGAGTTCTTTCCAACTTTCCTCCTGTGATTGAGTTCTAGTTTCAAAGCATTGTGGTCTGAAAATAGGCAGGGAATGATCCCAATCTTTTGGTACCAGTTGAAACCTGATTTAGGACCTAAATCCTAAGGTCCTAAATCAGGTCCTAAATCCATGGAGAATGTTCCATGGGCACTAGAGAAGAATGTGTATTCTGTTGCTTTGGGATGGAATGTTCTGAATATGTCTGTGAAGTCCATTTGGTCCAGTGTGTCATTTAAAGTCTTTATTTCCTTGTTGATCTTTTGCTTAGATGATCTGTCCATTTCAGTGAGGGGGATGTTAAAGTCCCCTACTATTACTGTATTGTTGTCAATGTGTTTCTTTGCTTTTGTTATTAATTGCCTTATATAATTGGCTGCTCCCATGTTAGGGGCATGGATATTTACAATTGTTAGATCTTTTTGTTGGATAGACCCTTTAAGTAGGATATAGTGTCCTTCCTCATCTCTTATTACAGTGTTTGGTTTAAAATCTAATTTGTCTGATATAAGGATTGCCACTCCAGCTTTCTTTTGGTGTCCATTAGCATGGTAAATGGTTTTCCACCCCCTCACTTTCAATATGCAGACAGCATACCGATGGGTCTTGTTTTTTAATCCAATCTGATAGCCTGTGTCTTTTGATTGGGGCATTTAGCCCATTTACATTCAGGGTAACTATTGAAAGATATGAATTTAGTGCCATTGTATTGCCTGTAAGGTGACTGTTACTGTATATTGTCTGTGTTCCTTTCTGGTCTATGTTGTTTTTAGGGTCTCTCTTTGCTTAGAGGACCCCTTTCAATATTTCTTGTAGGGCTGGTTTCGTGTTTGCAAATTCCTTTAGTTTTTGTTTGTCCTGGAAGCTTTTTATCTCTCCTTCTATTTTCAATGACAGCCTAGCTGGATAGAGTATTCTTGGCTGCATATTTTTCTCCTTTAGTGCTCTGAATATATCCTGCCAGTCCTTTCTGGCCTGCCAGGTCTCTGTGGATAAGTCTGTTGCCAGTCTAATGTTTCTACCATTGTAGGTTACATATCTCTTCTCCTGAGCTGCTTTCAGGATTTTCTCTTTGTCTCTGAGACTTGTAAGTTTTACTATTAGATGTCGGGGTGTTGACCTATTTCTATTGATTTTGAGAGGGGTTCTCTGTGCCTCCTGGATTTTGATGCCTGTTTCCTTCCCCAAATTAGGGAAGTTCTCTGCTATAATTTGCTCCAATATACCTCCTACCCCTCTCTTTCTTTTTCTTCTGGGATCCCAATTATTCTAATGTTGTTTCGTCTTATGGTATCGCTTAGCTCTCGAATTCTGCCCTCGTGATCCAGTAGTTGTTTATCTCTCCTTTTCTCAGCTTCTTTATTTTCCATCATTTGGTCTTCTATATCACTGATTCTCTCTTCTGCCTCATTTATCCTAGCAGTTGGCACCCCCATTTTTTATTGCACCTCATTAATAGCCTTTTTGATGTTGACTTGGTTAGATTTTAGTTCTTTTATTTCTCCAGAAAGCGTTTCTCTAATAACTTCCATGCTTTTTTCAAGCCCAGCTAGTATCTTTAAAGTGATGATTCTGAACTCTAGATCCAACATCATACTAATGTCCGTATTGAGTAGGTCCCTGGCAGTCGGTACTACCTCTTGTTCTTTTGTTGAGGTGATTTTTTCCGTCTTGTCATTTTGTCCAGAGGAGAATAGATTAATGAGAGAACAAAATGCTAACAGGGTAACAACGTCCCCAGAAAATATACTCTAAACAAATCAGAAAAAACCTGAAGCCAGGGGAAAAAGAAAGGGAAAGAAAGAAAAAAGAAAAAGAAAAAGATAAAAACAGGAAAAAAAAAAACAGAACAAAACAAAAAAAACCAGAATATGATCAAATATGATCAGGCTGGTGCATAGATCAGTGCCACACACTAGATTTGGGGTGTATTTTGGTCTGTTAGAAGAAAGTGCCTCCCAAAATTTTAAAGAAAGAAAACTTATATATGTACAAAATAAGGGTTGATATGATGAAGGGATGGAATATAACTGTAAAGATGAAATTTATAAAAAAAATTTTATAAAAGGAATTGATAAGAAGTTGTTTGAAAAAAGAAAAGAGGATTTTAAACAAAAAGAAAGAAAAAAAGGAGAGAATGTGATCAGGCAGGAGAGTAGAACAAAACCATACACTAGAGATTTAGGGTACATTTTGATCTGTTAGAAGAAACTATCTCAAAATTTTAAAGAGAGAACAACTTATATATATATGCCAAAAATAAGGGTAACTAATATGAAGGGATAGGATATGACTCTAAAAATGAAAAATAAAAATGTTTTTTAAAAAAGGGATTGATAAGATGTTGGTTGAAAAGGGGAAAAAGAAAAATTCAAAAAAAAAAAAAGACAGTTAAAAAAAAATTAACTTTGAAAGACTGAAGAATCATGGTAAAAAAGCCATGAATTCTATGTGCAGTATTCCCCTAGCGCTGGAGTTCTGCCGTTCTCATTGATCGGTAAACTTGGTCTTGGCTGGCTGTTCTTGCTGATCTTCTGGGGAGGGGCCTGTTGCCATGGTTCCCAAATATCTTTGCTGGAAGCGGAACTGCCCCGCCCTTGCCCGGTCAGGGCTAGGTAATCTGCTTGGGTTTGCTCTAGGGAGCTTTTGTTCCCTGCAAGCTTTCCGTACAGCTTTGGAGGCAGAGAGTGAAAATGTCGGCCTCCCAATCTCCGCCCTGGAGGAGCTGAGAACTCAGGGCCCCACTCCTCAGTGAGCCCCCAGAGATAAGCAGTCAGTCACTCCGTGCTCACCTGGCCTGTGACTGAGCGTTTCTGTCTCTGGCACCCGACCCCGTGTGTAGTCTCCAAACCCAGCAGATCCCTGCGGTGCACTCCCGCGCCGCTCCTCCCGGGGGAGGAAGGTGAGTCTCCCCGGATCTGCCGCTTGTTGGGTCCCTGCTGGAGGAGCAGGGGCCCGACTGTGCCGCGGATTACGGTTTATGGCAACCCCGAGCTGAGAGCCCGCGCCTGGGCTCCGCCTCTGCAGCCGGCTTCCCTGCTCCGATACCTGGGAGCTCTGCCGCACTCAGGCACCCCCGGTCTTTCTGTGACCCCTTGGGTCCTGAGACCACACTGTCCCGTGAGTGTTCCACCCCCTGCTTAGCCACTGGAGCGACGTCCCTCAGTGGAGCAGACTTTTAAAAGTTCCGATTTTGTGCTCTGCGGCTCTATCACTTGCCAGAAGCGGCCGACGGAGCCCCCCCCCCCCCCCCCCCCCCCCCGCCATCTATCCTCCCAAATATCGCCTCGGATTCACTTCTCCGCACGTCCTACCTTCCAGAAAGTGGTTGCATTTCTGTTCAGAGAGTTGTTGCTATTCTTTTCTTCGATCTCCTGTTGAGTTCGTAGGTGTTCAGAATGGTTTGATCCCTATCCAGCTGAATTCCTGAGGCCAGACAAAATCCAGGTCTCCTACTCCTCCGCCATCTTGCTCCGCCCCCTGTAGGCTTGAATTTAAAGTGAGATTCTTCGGCATGGCCAGGCATTTCCCTCCAGCCTGGGTCAGCAGCACGGAAGCAATGTGGAGTCCCTGGAAGCTGGGCTTGAACCCAAGGCTGTGGCTCCGCCATGGGAGCGCCAGAGAGGCCAGTGAATGTGGTGGATGCCAGGGGTGGTTCTAGTGATTGCTGGTGGGATTTTGGCAGGGTAAGATGGGACAGGGGTGGGTCCAGGGGGTGGCATGCAGCGGAATGGTGGTGGAAGCTGTGAATTCTCAGTCCTGAAGGTCTGCAGAGTTGTGGGAGGGAGGGTACCAGATGGACAAAGATGGAAAGAGGAGATGGCAGTCAGAGAGCGGATGAAGGACAGTGAGAGCATAGAGTCGTTTCTGTTCTTGCTCATTGCCGGCTCTCGGCTGCGTGGCTGTCCAGCAGAACTTGTCTGGTGGCCTGCACCTGCACCTGCCCTGACAGCAGCCACTGGCCATGTGTGGATATGGAGCACGTGACATGTGGCTAGTACAACTGAGCAACTCAGTTTTTAATATTATTTGACTTACGTTCAAATTTGTGCAGCCACATGAGACTAGTGGGTGCAGTGCAGGTGCAGGGTGGGAATGGGGTGGAGGACAGGTGTTGGGAAGATCCTCTCCATGGATGGTGAAATCGCAGGGAAGGGCGTCTGGGTGCTGTAGATAGGAGTGGCAGTGAGTGGGACTCTGGGATCTGGGGAAGGGGGAGTGGGAGAGGCCGGGTTTGCAGTGTGGACTGTAGCCAGGTGGGATGGAGTGTGACTGTTGGAAGGCTTTAGATTCCAAGCTGGGTGTTTTGGGGGAAGCAGCAGTGAGGAGCAAGGGGTACAACTCCCTTGCCTCCAGGCATGGGAATGGAAGAGATGCATCCTCAGGAAGAGCCAGGGGCTGCTTGGGGACAAAAGGGTGAAGAGTCAGAACAGGTGATTCGGGCACAGAGCAGTGCTGCGTTGGAGTCCAGGGCAAGTGTGGTGGCCGCGGTACCTGAGTCGATTGGTCCCATCATTATGACTTTTTAAAGTTATTTTAAAGTTCTGAATTCCCTTCTTCTTGATTTCAGTGTTCTGAGTTTCCAAAACGTGAGCGATGGGCTTGAGAGGCTCAGAGACACTCGGTGCCCTGCAAGACATTGGCGGCCCCTCCCCCAGCCCCCCGCAAAGCACCCCCCCCCCGCCGTGCTTCCTCTTCCCGTGACCCTCTGACCCCGCTGTGTGTGTTGCAGGTGTTTGGCGTTCACTTGAACAAGTGGCAGCTGGACAAGAAGCTCGGGTGCGGATGCCTTTTCCTGTACGGCGTATTCCTGTGCTTCTCCATCATGACGGAGTTCAACGTGTTCACGTTTGTGAACTTGCCCATGTGCGGGGACCACTGACCCGGCCGGCCGCCCGCCGAGCCTTGGGCCTCCTTTTCTGTGCAATACAAGATCCAGCCGCACCCCGAGTCACGCGGGCCCCACCCGGGGCCGGGGCCTCCGGCTCTCCCGCGCTGGTCACAGGCCTCTGCTCCTGCCTCGGTGGCCCAGGCTGTCCCCTCCCCTCCCTGCTCCCCCTCCTCCTCCCTGGTTTCCTCCCACCCACCCCTTCCTGTCTCCTCCGTGTGAAGACTCTGACATCCGCGTGAATTTTCAAGCTCCATTTTTGAACAGTGACTGAGATTCTAGGAAAAAAACAAAAAACAAAAACAAAAACAAAACTGGCTGCTAACTGGCCCAAGCCAGGCAAAACTTATTACAATCCCTCCTCCTTTTTTAAGTTATTGGATGGAAGACAAACCTAATTTATGACCTGAGACTGTCAAAGGAATAGAGAGGAGAAGAGGGTATATCGATGCTAGGGAGTGTTCGGGATTTCATTATGTTTTGAGGTAATGCCTAAGTGACTGGGTTTGGGGAGGTTGTTTTACTTGGGGGGGGGCTTCCCCCTTTTCTTCCTTTTCTTCCAGAGACGGAGAGCTTCTCTTAAATCTTCTTTCACTGGGCTCTGGATTAACAGACGATCCACAGGTTGTCCCTGCCATGTGTTCTGGGATCATATCCCAGGCATGGTAGAATATGCATGGATTTGGCACTTAGTAGAGGAACACGTGGGCGGGGCCACCAAGAACACATGCGTGATGTTTCATATCCGTGGACGCCTCCCGGAAGTCCTGTAGGCGTTACCTAGGGGGCACGAGGCTTTCAAGGAAGAAGACAGCTTCCCCCATAGCCATTAGGATCATCTTTTTCTCACTAGGTTCCTTCTAGTCTCTCAAGCAATAGTTCTAGCCTGCCTGAGGCCTTTGGATGAGGGGCCCTGGTTACACTCCCCATCCGTGGGGTGCCAGGCAGTCAGCACCAGAAGCTTCCCAGCCCGTGAGTCCCTGAGATGCGCGCTCGTCGCTTGGTATTTGGGGTGACAGGGAGTGACCCAGAGGCCACCACTGCTTTTCGTGCAGGAGTTACAGACACTGGTTTCTTGGAAAATGGAGAGAAGCACACTTTGCACAGACGTCGTCACTAAAGTCCCGATTTGCCACTCGGTATTGAGTACACTGGACCCTGACAGCTGGCTCTTGGGCCAGCGTCCTTCCTCATGGGACGCCTCCACCAAGCTGCCCCAGCTCCACCCCTCCCATCCTGGAGGATGGCCAGGGAAGGAGAAAACAGAGAACTGACTGACACCTTTGGAACCACAGAATGTGTTCAATGCAAGACTCGCTCAAGGGCATAAATTATTGTGAACATTGTTGCCAATCACTGCTCAACAGCCCTGCTAGATTTTGTATGATGCTGGATTATTATGCAGACTAATTCCACCGAGTTGAGACCCACCCATGCTTGTTACACTTGTATTTATTGAAACTGTGGATTCTTGCCCCTGCTGCCCCCTGTATTTACTTTAAGCACTGATCACTTATCATTCATTCAGTATGGTTTTCCCCCCGTCCCTTCTACACATTCTGGTGTGAATTGTAAAAATAACCTGCTACAAATGAGTTGAATGTTTCTGTCAATGGTGCAAACCAAGGCCAGCGTTAGCCGATGGGGCACCTGCCCGAAGGAGGAACGGGAGAGGAAATCACCAATTTGGGCTCTCAGAGCTAAGACACACGTATTGATTCTGTTGCACATTTTGCACTGGTTTATGGAGATTGTTTTCTTGGACGGATAGTGTAAAATAAACTTCTCTGTTCTGTATCCTTCCTTGAGCATTGCGCTTTACTTCCTCTCCTAGAGTGTTGCCTGTTTTAACCGCACTGACCTGTATGCATGGAAGGAAATGGCCAGGTATTCGTGCTTCTACTCTTTCTGGGTAGGCTCACCTGGAAGGCTGGCAAATGTCTGGTAGATTGCAAGTGTGAAGTCACAAATCATGGGTCTCCTCTAAATCTCACAGGGACTTTGTATCTGTCATCCTGTAGAGTCCATGCAATGCTCTCTTAGGAATTCTTTCAGCTGGAGTGAGAGGAAGAGATTCCAGCACTACTGATAATGTTCAGCAACGTTCAAGTTCTTTATCCTGTCTGATCTGACTACTTTTCAAATGTGAAAATTCAGACTTCCCTGAAGCTAACTCCGGAAAAGAGAGACTAACACATCCTTGTAATAAGCCACGTTCTTACCCTGAGCGACTCCCAAGAAATAATTACCCAGATCTAAAAGTAGACCAAGGTTAGTGAACAAGCCAGGTTTCCACCTGGAGCAACAGAATTCATTTATAGGGATCAGAAGAAAAATTGCCAGTAAGTCACAGCACCAACTTCTGTTTAACTATGTAAAAAAAATGTATTCCCCTAGGGGTGCCTGGGTGGTTCAATCGGTTAAGTGCCTGACTCTTGATCTCAGCCTCAGGTCTTGATCTCAGGGTTGTGAGTTCAAGACCTACGTTGGGCTCCACCCTGGGTATGGAGACTACTTAAAAAAAAGTTATATATATAATATGTTTTTCCCAGGTTGGAGGGAAAAGGTGTTGACATCTAAAAATGCTTTACCACTCTATTTGTGCATTTTATAAATATATGCTGGACATGGACAGGGTATTTTCATTATTCTGATTGGTACTTTTTATATTGGTCTTCATTAGCTTTAGTCTTAGGCAAAACATTTGATCTGAAGCTTGATTGTTTTTTTTCTTTCAAGCATGCTTTCTATGATATCTTTAGAAACTGTAGTTCCATGCTAAATTTCTCAAAGACAGAATCATGGGATAAGGTAAAATTCCCATGCATAATGATTGCCAACCTAGGAACTGGGAAGGTTTCGCATATGAAATGAGCACTTGGCCTATTTCTGCTCAGATCCCTGCCATGCACGATTGTGTCTTGAGTTATCGACTGAGAATGTGGTTCTAAATGAGCTGCTCTCCAAAGATACAAGATAGCTGATGTTGCTATTTTCACTGCTCCCACTGTTCTGGGATTTATTTGGAAGGGGTTAGAATGGATGTAAGGGAAGAATTTTGATTCAATAGGCCATACCTGACAGTAACACCAGAGTCACACCTCTCAGCAATTTTCTGGAGTGTGCTGGTGAACTCCCCAGGCTGTGATCTTGTGTATAAGGGGGCAAGGGAAGACGGATGCTGGAGTTTGCACTTCTTCCTCAGCACATCCTAGTTGACCCCCAAGGAGGAACGGCCAGAAAGTCCTCTTTTTCTGGAAAATACATTCCCAACCATGTCCTGGCCTGCTAGGACCCCTGCCAGCACACATACCTGTTAGGTGGCTTTGGATGACCTGAGAGGCCACGACATGGGGAAGTTTCCAAAAGGCTTCTGTCTCCCTTCTGAAGGAAAGTACTGGCCCTACCTTTTTAGGGGTAGTGCCCTTTTGTAGGTACATGTTTTATATCTACTTCCAAAAGGAGCTGGCTGGAGGGTAGGTGGGTGATTATGTTTTCCTAAGTCTACTGCTACTGATGTTTATAGTTTACAGTCATGAATTCGAATGCTAGAGATTTGAGATTCTTTATGTCACTTTAGGCACACAGGCTTCAAAGAAAAGCCTAAATGTTTAAAAATGGGGAGAGAGGGTTGATAATATTCTAAGGTCCAAATGGTTTTGAATTGTGGTATATAAAATAGGAATAACATCCAACTTGCAATAAAATGTAATAAAACATAGCCTTAGAGCTTTACCTAATTGGTCATGAAAATATTCAGATTGTTGGGAGAAACTGGAAGTGGGAAATTGGTGTTAGTGATGCTCCTTCTAAGATTTATTTATTTTTACCTTTCCAAATTTGGATGATTGTCCCATTAACAGGCTAATTATCCAATTATTCTGACCCATTTTGATCAGCTATTTTGAAGTAGATGGGACATTTCCATGTTGAATTTTGTGTGGGCTCATACTAATTACTGAGTCTCATTTACTTTTATATTTTCTGCAATGGCTGCTCAACACACACACACACACCATCTATCTGACATCAAAACTCTCTATGAAAACAGTCCAATGGATCTTTGAAAACTTTCCATATATCCAGCTGTCTGTTATGATACAACTTCAGGAGGAATTGGGTGGGTTCAGCCAACGTTTCTCTGATAAATAAAAAGCCATGTGTCCATTGCATCATCCTCCAGAGATGTGGAGCACTTAGAGATGCTGAAAAAGTCAGGCACTGAAGCCATGGACAAGTAGAGGATTAGCAACATGGGTAAGATAAATGATGTGATGCCCCAGAATTGATTCACATTGAGCTTTATGCTTAGTTTCAAAACCCAGTGCAGAGCAATAAAACTCCACCAAAAGCTCTCAGATGGCTTCCTGTTGCACTCAGAACATTTATTTCCTTAATAAATTGTGGCCAGTAGTCCCATTAATTTTTTACTGAGCTTCAATTTGGCAAACACTCTTACTAAGTTGTAGAGATTTTAAGTGTAGTGAATAGTTGTAGTTACTACTCATTTTGGTTTTGGTCTTTGCTTTTGCAACAGGTAGGAGGGAAGGGAAGATTTAAGACAACATTGGCATATATGCCACTTCAGGGTTTTCCTGCTAACATAAACTTACGTAAATGTATGCATATATACATACATTACAATTCTTCCTTTCAAGACTTCAAACTTAACCTGTTTATCAAAAACTTAATTTGAAGATATCACATCTTCTGGTTTATTGAGACAATTCATCTAGTAACTGATTCCAGAAAACTGTATACAAAACCTGGAATAAAGTGTGGCGAGGAATTTCAGGATCCCAGCAGTTGTTTTGAGGGATTCTGAGCCATGCCCACAGGCCATTGCTGAAAAGAGATGCACCTGGGCGCAAAGGTGCTTTCAGCAGAAAGCTAATACTTTTAAATTCTTGCAGAAGTAAAGATGTGCTCTACTCACTTTTGTACCCTTCTTTTTGATACATAAATCATATGTATCATCTCTCTCCCATGCTTGGTGCAGGATGATACATTCAGATGCTCTGTCCATCATCAATTCTATAACCACCAGTGGGTTTGAACCAAAATGACCACTGCTGTAGTTTTAGGAGAATTTGTTTTGCTGACTTTTACAGGTCCAAACAACCAGTTCCAGAATCTCTAAAAATTTATTGTCATGTCAGGTTGAATTATTCCGTCCAGTTGCTTAAAAGTCAAATACTCTATTCAACTTTATGTGTGAAAAAATGCATTTACCTACATTCATTCATGGTCTAAAATCCAAGCTTCCCAAATTTAAGCGCCAATCGGAACTACCTGGAGACTTAATCAAATATAAATTTCCAGTTCAGTAGGTCAAAGAATTTGCATTTCTCACCAACCCCCAGATGCTGTCACTGCTGGGTTTGCATCCCACTTTGAGAACCACTGGTGTAAATAATGTCCTTTGTCCAGAAAGCCTATACTAGCCTCTACCCATATTACTGGTATACAGCTTATGCAAAACACACACACACACACACACACAGGTGTACTATTTCTTTCAAAATTCTTTTTTCTTTCTATTTCCACTGAGATCTACAAATGGCTGAAGGTAAGAAAAGAAATTTGGGCAACTCCATAATCTACATTCTCTATTATCCTGCAGCATGTTTGCTTCCTACCAAAAACAACTTTTAAACTAAAACCAAACCAAAGTTAATGATTTAAGATGAGATGAGAGAAAGCCAAGATTCTGGGTGGAGTTATTAGCTCAGTAGAGATGGGCATAGGCAACCACTAATTCATTCAAGGTGAAAAAGGTTTAGTTATAAACTCCAACAAGAGAGGGGCACCTGGGTGGCTCAGCACCTGGGTGGCTAAGTCGGTTAGGTGTCTGCCTTCAGCTCAGGTCATGATCCCTGGGTCCTGGGATCAAGATCCCCATGGGGCTCCCTGTTCAGCAGGGAGTCTGAGTCTCCCTCTCCCCCTGCCCCTACCCCCACTCAAGCATGCACGCACATACATGCATGCATACTCACTCTCTCTCTCTCAAATAAATAAAATCTTAAAAAAAAAAAAAAGAAAAAAAAAAACCTCCAACAAGAGAAACTAGTGAATACAGGAGAAATTCCCTGCCCATGAACTCTCATTCACACATTACAACCACGTACAGCTAACTTTCTAATCTAAAAAGGTTATTTTGATGCAAATCTATCCAAGAAAGATGTCATGGCTCAGAAAAGAAAGAAAAGGTTTACACCAGAGTTGGCCTTCAAGGCCCCAAATGCTTCAAACAATCACGCATACCCACTTTACACTCTTGCCTAAGAAACCAAAGTAGAACGGTGGTCAGCCACACACCTCCTGCCCGGCGTGCAGAAACCTCCATATGCAGGCTGTGGCCCCAGTCAGTGTCCACGTGGGAAATGATTGTGACTCCCAGGTGAGGGACAGGTGAGGGACAGGCATGGGCTTGGTTTGTGCCTATGGCCAGACCTTAACTCAGACATGGGCTTTTGGCTTTTCTACAAGAACCTCAGGGAATACCCTGTGCTCTAAAATGACATGGTCAAAGCCACATTTTTCTATCCACTAAAAGTTTTGCTCAGAGTCAGAAAGTGGGTTTAGATATTGGTATGCATAGTCGGGAGGGGAGGCAAGGAGGAGGGGAAAGTCTTCCTTTCCAGAAATAAAATATTTTATGCTTAGCCTATGGCAGCAGTAAGGGCATTGTGCCCCAAAGCAAGGAGATGTTCTACATCACTCCCTAAATCTCCCTGTGCACTATGCAGCCACAGTCAGCCTCTGTCCCTACAGGGGGCATCACCAATCAT